GAGTTTCTTCAAGGTGATGCCACTAAAGCCTTCAAGAAGTTCGGTTGGAAGCCCAGCTTTAACTTTACTGTAAGTGTAAATTTAACTGCATGTACTGTAAGTAGGTTACTTTAGCATTCCCGGGCATACACAGGGTCACTGGTGGTACATTGCAGATGGCTTCGGGTTGTAAATTGGATTTTTAATCTCTCTCAAGCTTTTGCATGCTCTCTCACGCTCTCGCACGCTCTCTCTCTCTCTCGCGCGCGCTCTCTCTCTCTCGCGCGCTCTCGAGAGAGAGAGCGCGCGAGAGAGAGCTCGAGAGAGAGAGAGCGCGCGCGAGAGAGAGAGAGAGCGTGCGAGAGCGTGAGAGAGCATGCAAAAGCTTGAGAGCGTGCAAGAAAGAGAGGGTGCGAGCGAGAGAACATGAATGAGACCCAGAGCAAGAGAGAGCCAGCAAATGCTCTAGCTTTCAACCCCCATTTTCTGTGATGACACCCTCAGCAACTTCCCAAAGCTTACACTAGAACACCAGAGGCATTCCCAATTTACCCAAGGACCTTCATGTGTAGTGGTTTCAATGATAGGAGATTCTCTTGTTTATTTTAAAGCCATATGGCAGCTTCAGTCTTGGACTAGTAGACTTGGCAATCATAAGTTTACATCTTGTGGCTTTCAAACTTCCCCCTCCATTGGTGAAGACACTGAAATAATTGAGACTAAGAGGCCCCGGCAGGCACCAGTTGGGGGTTGTTAAGAGGCATGAGCTTCAGGGTTTGCTCCAACAGAGGTAGTACTTGGTGACCCAGATAGCAAAACTCCCACTTTAGTTCCACTGTTGTTCTTGGTGATGCTGTCTTTGCTTATTTGTTGGGGAATTAAGAGGCCCTGTAAGTGGTTCTCCTTCCCATTGGGTTCAGGATTGGAGTCAGACTCTGACACTGGTTCCTCTGTGTCAAGTTGGAAGAAGGTGCTGTGGTCTCAATATTTCTCAGGAGGGGACCTTGGTTACCTTTTGACTTATCTTAGGGTTTAGTCTCTAAGGCAGAAGGCATATTTTCAAGGTACAAGAAAGATATTTTGTATCTGCCCACCTAGTTTGAGCTAAACAGCTTCTGTATAATTCAAATTAATTTTTGAATACTGTACCTATGTTTACTTCAGACTCCCATTTCTTAAAGCTTTTATGACTACTTATGTCATGTGACATTTTTCAGTACATTACAGAAATTGAGTTTTGCTTATAAATCCATATAATTACCAAGATTTGACATCTCTCTGGCTTTTGGTACCTATATAATAAAATTTACCTTTATATATTTATAAACCTTTTTTATTACACATACAAAAAATAATAGAAGAATTTTTGAACATGTAGTACCATGATGCCCAAAATATTAAGTTTGAAACTGCTTTTAGAATTGTTATTCATTCATGCATATTTATAGTATTTTATTTTCCTCAGTTCTAAAATTATGTTTTCTTTAAAGTGTAACTCTTTATCCAAATTTCATGAGTTTATATTGGTGTCAGAATTGAGTTAATTTGAAATAATGTTTAGTCACTGTAGTGACCAAAGTGACCTCAGCTCTAGGTCACTGTAGTGACCTAGAGCTGAGAAAATTGCACCCCCTCAAAGGTTAATTAAACAGGTATATTTTTGGTTCTACTGGTCTTCATCACAAGTTTTGTGACACTAAGTGGTGATCTTGCTGTGGAACTGAGACTACATCTGAAATGGATCCGGTTTTCTTTGAGTTCAGATCTGCTGCAACTTCCTGGTTGAAGTATGTGGTGCTGGCTTTCTGGCTAGCAAACACTCAATACTGTAGTTTACTCTGGGTTTGTTTCATCACTTGCCAGTTTTCAATTGGAAAGAGGTCTCTCCACTCACCAGTCATTAGTGTTTTTCTTTTGCAGGACCATTTTTTCTTCAAATTAATAGTCCATTGTCTGCTTGCCTTGTCTCATAGGACTAGGACATGATGGTTCCACTTCCAGGTCCCCAGATTAATGCAACTTTGTCCCCAGTTGACCATTAGACACAGATGAGGTTGGTGGAGCTCCTCCATTTTTTCAGTCAGGAATTGTTTGCTTCTCAATTGCAGACAAAGCTGGGGGTAGCTGGGTGTGGCTTCATTGCCAAACAGTGTACTCCTCTGTATCATCATTTGTGATTTGTTGGCAAGATAGAAGTGACATTTTTGGGTGCTGGTGTTTTACTTGATCCCTATCCCAAATAAGGACAGATAAGGGAGTAATTGGAAATGCTTATTACACAGTTTTATGTGGATATTTAATGTTTTTCAAACATTTCTTAGAGGAAGTTTGAGTGCTGTGTGATTTTCTTTTAGCTTTTATGGCAGTTAGTGGGTTGTACAGGGGGTTGAGGCAAGATTCTGGTCCTTGTTCCCAGTGAGCTAAATGTTGCAGGTGCCTGGCCAATCAGAACTGGCCCTAGAGTGAGAGCAGAGTAAGTTCTGGCAAACTATTGAAGTGCCACCCAGGAAGTGGTTTTTCACTATATTTTCGATACTATTTTTATGTAAGGATGTATATGAATGAAACAATGTATATGAATTCATGCTATACAAATATCTTAATACAAAAGCCATAGAAATATGTTTGGGTTACATAGCTAACTTTATTAAAGGAGAATGTAGTTAGGTTTTCAGTCATCAACCTCTGGCAGTCAAAATTGAGGTTGCCAAGCTCCTTCCTAGCATACCCTTCCTAGTTTACAGTACAGTTAAAAAAATGTACTTAAGTATAGTATTCTTTTCTGACCTTCTGGTACCCCCTTCCCACCTCTAGATTCTCTTGTGCTGTTTCTATAGTTTCTACGTGTCCTCATACTTAGCTTAGCTGCCTTACATGCTTGGTTAAACCATGGGTTAATCCTGTGATGATGGTTGTCTTCTCTTTAGATAGGAACAAACTTGTTAACTGCATCAAAGTACTGTACATCTTGGTAACATCCTTCTACCAGATACTCAAATACCAGTAAAATGATAGCATATTGACAGTGAAATTTAAAAGTATTTTTTCCTTATGTCTGATTCGAAGCGAATATAAAGTCAAGTCTGGTTCATGGAAAAAATTTCTCATTTGCTGTTTCCATACATTTTGTGTGAATGCATGCATGCACAAGTATGAGGATAGCACACACAAAATTGTACATACGTATTGCTACTTGACATGGCATTTCTTTCTCCTTCCAAAACAGGCACTGGTCACAGACATGGTTCGGGCAGATATTGAACTCATGAAAAAAGATCCCAGTGCTTAAGATAGTGTGGTATGCTGACGCCTCACTTTGACTCACCGCTGCCCTGCTACATGCTGGGACCATCTCTGGGAGAGCTCCACAGTGTTGCCGCCTCAATGCTGTTTTAGAGTGATGAACCCTATTGCTGTTTTTTATTGGGTGAAAGTTTTAAGTGCACACTAACTGTAAGGTCATTTGTGAGTGTGGAGTTGTGTTTTTTCTCATTGAAAATTACAAACTTAGGTAGACGATACAAGATTTGATTGTTTGTGATTTACAGTTTGTGCAGTTTTAGAGCAGTGATTATAAATGAATACTGAATTTATGTAATTATTACAAATTTATAAATTTTTCTTGTAATTGTTTAATTATGTAAGTGTGGCAGTACCGCTACCCATAGTCAAGCATTAAAATTAATAGTTGGATTAGAAATTACAATAATAATAATAATAATAGTTTGTGATTTTGGTCTCCTTGGGTGCCAGTTTTTTATTTCACAAGCACTCAAACATCGTGCAGTATATGACAACATTAACAGAAGCTATACTTTATATTTCAAAGTGAAAGTATGATCATCAGGATCATAAGCTCTTGAATTGATATATGCTATCGTCTAAGGCTTGACACATTGAACAAACATGGGCAACAAGTTAAACATTCGAGGAGTCATTTGAAAAACAATCGATAATAGCATAAGGCTCAACCAATCTGTAGGAGTTCATGGCAATCTGCACATTCATTCCAGAGCCTCATGGAAAACAAGCATATCAAAATATTTTGGTTCATTAAATTTACTACATCTTGTTGTCATTCAATGCCATTGTGCTCATACATGCAACTCCTAAACTTTCTTCAAAGGCAAATACCAAAGGAATCACATAGTACCATATGCATAGGTGACAAACATTAATATTAGCTGTCATAAATTTAGACAAGGAGGCATTTTATGTTTTCAATACTACCTATTCCAATCCAGATCTGGAATATGCAACCATGGCATGAAACCCTCATCTAAAAAAGCACAAGATAAAACTAGAAATTTCAGAGATAAGCCACAAGACTTGTTCAGGACTGAAATTATTGTAGAACAAGGAAAGATTGAGGAAGCCATAGGAATATAAGGAAACGTGTCTTTAGCTACAGAAGGAAGTTGAGGCTAATGCCATACATAGGTTTCAATGTAACAAATCTAGGAAGAGCCATTGCATTATTTGACATGCAGCTAAAAAGACATGGTCTAACAGCTAACACTGATTGTGCACTTGGAACAATTAGGCGAGTACACTCACTCAAAAAATGTAACAAATCTTGAGATAAGGGCCAGAGGACATATGATCACTATGCAAAATATAGAGGGTAATAGACACTATGGACAATGGTAATCTTTTCAAATTGAGGGGGGAAAAAGGACATGACCCAATGAAAGCTGGAAGCTCAAATATATCGGGGAGAATTACGTATATATTCTTAGGGTGCTACCTGATCAACAAATGGAATGAACTGAAAGAAGCATTAGTGGAAACCGTGTCCATCCACAGCTTCAAGAGTAAACATGAGAAATAGAATACTGTAACGAGAAGTTTAAACACTTCCAGGTATAAATAACTGGAAGAGTTCAAAGAGGTAGATCTTATTCCCTGTAGATACTTAAGGTAATCACATGTCTCCACAAAGCCTCATCTCAAAGCTCCAAAAGCCAAGTATGATTATTGTACTGAACTATATATTTTATAGAAATTATGGGTTTAAACGTGACTTGAACTCTTCAAGTACGATGACATGAACTCTGTATTTCCCAGTATTACTCATAAGATAGGAGAATGCAGCCATTACTGTAGTGTGTTTCACACTGAAGTCCTGGATTTGGTTTCTGATATTAAATAGTTATTCAGGATTTCTTTCACAATGCATATCAAAATATTTACATAAAAATCTTGGTCATTTAACAAAAAAGTTTTGAACAAATTCATGGGTGCCAGCTGCTTGTGAAATGCACAGCATGCCACATAATAATCTACATTTTTCTTTTATGTAGCATTGGAAGAGCATGATTTAATAACCTTTATGAAGCAGTCCTGAAATGCCATACAAGCATTAAGAGGGTGCCCACAAGTACTGTAGATCCTTATCCAAATATTTCAGTTGTTCCAAAAGACACTTAACAGAGCATCTGAAATATCTTAAAGAATTCTACACTTTTTTAAGCTAATATAAAGCTGGGGCAGTTCCCTACTTGTTTGGTGTGTTCTTGGAAACAAGAATGCTGTATATGAAAAGAATGAAGCCTGCCCTTGGCTGCAAATATGAGAGTATTTTAGCAAGGAAAGAAAAGATGGTAAGAAAGAAGAATGAAAATATGTGAAAATTAAATACTGTAATGTATAATGAATATGAAAAAGAGCTTACAGTGAATCCAAAGTTCAAGTTGCAAAGCATGAATTGGTAGTTAACTTTACATAAGAATAAAGGAAACTGACCCATACAAGGCAGCTCCTATTTATATCCATCCAAACTTATTTATACTGTATATATATCTAACCTATACTTTATACTCTATCCCATGATCCCATGTACAGTATATTATGTTACCCGGTAATTTGTTATTTCAACAGCCCTATTTCTAAATCAATATTTACCCAGATCTTTATTGAATCTAAACTTCTTTCCTGAATCTAAGATGCATTGGATTACATTTTATACAAATCTTTGTATAGTAAAATATTTTGTTGAAATTCAGCCTGCACTAAAAACAAAGCATAGCATAGTACAGTACTGTGTGCATTGATTATGGAAAAAAAGATCAAGGCAGCAGTAAAGACGATATGACAAAGCTGCAGTACTGTGTGTGTGCTTTACCTATTTTCCTGAATATTCACACACCCTGTGAATATTTAAAAAAAAAATTAATATAGCTAATTTGGTATTCACATTTTAACTTCAGATGCATTCATAAAATCTGTTTCTTGATTGGTTTACTTTACAGGGAACAAGTGAACTATTAAAGAAATGGTGGTACGTACTGTAGGTGTTTTTGCATTTTGTGCACACTACCGTTAATGACTGCATGTATTCCTACGATGAGCATGTATTCATTTATTATGTAATTGTACTTTTCATAGCATTCCAAAAAGGCATTATAATTTTTATTTAAATAAACATTTTATTAGACATATATGTGTACATTTAGCCTTTTCTTCCCTACTTAACTTTGCTTATGCTGGAGTAACCAAAGAGGGTTTTTTTCATGAGGTTAATTATGAGTAGCATTCTTCGGTGGCACGGTCTGTTAAAGGAGTGGAGGCATACCTGATCAACCAGGCTATACCTGATCAACCAGGCTGTGACTCATACGTCAGGCTGCGAGCAGCCGCGTCCAACAGCCTGGTTGATCAGTCCAGCAACCAGGAGGCCTGGTCGACGACTGGGCCGCGGGGACACTAAGCCCCGGAAGCACCTCAAGGTAGCCTCAAGGTAAGGGGAATTCCCTTCCATTATCACATCAGGCAGTGATGTTTCCTCTAGGGTACACTCTCTCCTATGTTTTGCCTGCATACCACTAGGACCTGGTTGTGGTTCACTGCTTGTTTGTCTTACTAAAAATTTGTCAAGAGACACTTGTTTTTTTCCCTTCGTTTTAACATTTGTCTATAGTGATGCATCACAGTGTCATTGAATAGGTTAAGGCAACGGCCTACTACAACTTGCTCTGGGTGAGTTGTTTCAACAAAAGTTTGCATTTCTTCCCATAGTCTACACCATAGTCTATATCATAGTCTTCACTACATACATAGTCATCCAAATTAATAACAACTGTTCAACTTCCTCAAGTGTTTGTGTTCTATGTTTCGTGATTATTGATACGCCTCTTGCCACTTTAGCATTCATAATGTCCTTTTTCTTAGCCAGTATGGTGGATACCGTTGACTGAGATTTGTTGTACTGCCTAGCAAGTTGAACAACCTACACACTATCTTCATGTTTACGAATGATTTCTTGTTTTTGCTCTATGGTGATTCTTACATGGGTTTTCATATGTTGAACCTTACCACTGACTTTCTTGGGACCCATGGTGTGATATATAATAATTACTTTTATGTTCAAAAAGCAAAAAATCACCACAAAAACGGAATTTCTTATAGGCGTGATCGTCACTAAGCGGGCAGCTGTAGTAAACTGAGGCAGGTTGGCCCGCGTGACCAGGAACCACACTGTCGGTCGACCCGAACGTGTACCAACAAATATCGTTAGTCGACGACACCATCATATGTCGAGTCGCATTTTTCGATCAACTTTACATCGTAAATCAAAATTATCGTAAGTTGAGGTGCCACTGTGCTACCTAATCAACTCTTTGGAACATACCTTACTAACTAAATGTCCATCTATGTTTTGTTATTATATGCAATTTCCATGGTGCAGTGGTAAAGCACTTGCCCAGCGCTTTGCGAGGGCTTTGGCCTGGGTTCGTATCCTGGCCGGGGAGGATTGACTGGGCGCCAATCCTTAACTGAAACCTTGGTTCACCCAGCACTGAATCGGTACCTGGTTATTAAACAAGTTGGCGGGTCATATTCCAGGAAAAAATTAGGTTTAAGTACCTGCTCGAAATGCTGTGTGTGCTAGTGGCTCTACAAGACTATAACTACTCTTGTATGTATAAAAAAAAAAATAATCATTGAACATTAATTACTGAACCTGTAAAGCTGCTGATATCTGCCATGTAAACACAAAAATTGTTCTTTCTGTTTATTTAATGAAAATTACTTTGTTATTCTGTTGCAATTTCTGCTGTATCAATCACCATGTAATGATGGTCATTTGTTTCTATTTCTCTACTTCAGTTAATTTTTATTTTTGATCTCAATTAGTTTTAAGTCTTTAGATTTTCATTTTTTTCACGTCATGCTTGAAATGCTCTGCATATTAGTGGCTTCAGGCATAGTACTTGCCTTACCTGTAAATCCTACATTCTTCTTGTATCCTATTTATGTATGTATTTTTGCTTAATTATTATTATTATTATAAAAGCAGGAATCATGGTTGGCAGGGATATAGGTGCAGTAAGCAAGTCTGCAAGCATATCAGCTGGAACACTGACAGTACTGCGGGCCCAGGTATTGCTGGGGTTGCTACAAGCACTTTGCCTCAAGAGTGTAACACCTAAATGCTGTGTTTCTATTTTAATCTGCAATGTAAAATGTGATTCTTGTACTATACTGTGATTGGTGGATTTGTACTTACTGGATTTGTGAGCTTGAGGGACTTGAAGTAGAGGAGGGTAGAAATAGCCTAAGCTACTTTATCCTGAGATGTACTGTATTGTCTCAATAAATGTACTTGAACTTGCTGGGGTTGAAGTAGCTGTTGCATGAACAGTAAGCAGTCATCAGGAATCATGATGGGTGTCAAACCACTTGCAGCAACTAGTGCGTTGATTGTAGTAATGAACAATCTGTTGTACGTCTAGGCCATTTGGTCTGCTAGGTGGAGTAGAGCAGGCACTACACTGGTGTTGGAGGCTAGTGGAGGTGGTGGCTATGGCTGGGATGTTGACAGGAAGTTGTTCCTCCAATGGCAAGGCAGGGAGGCGGTATCCATGGGCAGTAAGGGAGGGAACGCTTCTGATTGGATGCAGAAGGTTGCTACTGAGTGGGTGTTGGTTGAAGCTTGTCTGGCCTAAGACATTTTCTTGATTTTTGCTTGCCTGATGATGCACTCAGGAGATATGGCAGTGGTGTGGACTCCTTCACACAGTAAGTAGTGTTGGTCAGTCTCCTGGCAGTCCTTGAAGTGGTGACCTTGAGCACAGATGCTACATAACGTGAGTGTACTGGTAACACATAGCACTGTCTTAGTGCAAGCTACCTTTCCGTGGTGATTTGGTGAGGTGTGTAAGCAACTCCAAAACATTGGGATTCATTTTGAGCAACATGGGTAGCCTTATCTAGAGAGTTGAAGGTGATCTTCAGAGTAGACATTGATTGTTGGCTATCCAGATGAATTTCACTGATACAGCAGTCAACGTTGGGTTTTGCAGGTTTGATGCTGCCAATGACATCAGGAATAGGCTTGCTAGAGATGATAGTGCTCACTAGATAAATGAATAGCCCTCACAGCCAGGTATTGATGTAGTGGTAGGAGAATCTGGTTGCTGCCTTGAATGCAGCCAGTATGGAGGGGGTGAACAACCCCTATAGAGCCTTTTCATTGCTGAAGAGGACATGCAGTATAAAGTTGTCATTAACTATGTCAATTGGTACTATGTCAGTGGCCGTGATGGCTGCTGGTGTTCCACTGTGAGCCTCAAACCTGTATACAGTACAATATTTCACATTTCCCTTCATCTGGAAATTGAGGCTCCTGGAGGGCAATGTATTTCTTTGATGGGGAATGAGAGGCTCGGTGTGGCCTGAATTAATCAATCGATTGGTTGGCCTACTTGAACTAGGGTCAAGCTGGCATTGAGGAATGGTGTGCCATTTGACTTCTCAAAGGCAACCTACATATGCTGTTTTTCCCTTGTTGGACTCTTGTGATGCATGAAGACAGAATTGAAATCTTTCTTTGTTGTTAATGTGTAAAATTCATCTTTGCCTTCTGAAGTCAGGCCCACAAATTTTTTCCAGGAAGAATCCTTTTGCAGTACCACTTACAGGATGAGTATGGAGTGCACAATAAAATGATCACTGCTGATGGCAAAAATCAAAATAATAAAAGATCCCTTAAACTATGAGAAGCTCACTTGTAGTCCATTGGGTGCTGCTATGATGGACCCCTGGTCCTTCCTCCCAGATAACTCCTATTACCTCTTGTATCAGCCATTAGCCCTCATAAGTCTTGACACTGCCCCATAACTTTCCCTGACATTAGAACTTCTGTGACAATAGAAAAAAATCCTATGGAAAAATGGGGGAAATTTAACAAGACACCAGCTTCCTGTCTCCAATTGAAGCCATTAGGGAAATAGTGGCTTACAGTGAATATAAAAAATCAACTTGCCCCTAGCTCAGATAGCTTTCTCCTTGGAAGTATAAAAACTTTCTCTGGCTTCGACAAGGACAGGAAGCCAGCGGCTTCTCAAAGGTCCCCCCATTTGCCCTGATGATCTTTTCCAGTTATATAAAACCTAACAGTTTTGGCATTTACAGCTTTGGCGTGTAGGCAGTTCCATGGGTTTATAACCCTCTGGATGAAAAAGCATCTCCTGTTTTCAGTCCTACATTGTGGCTTGTTGAGCTTGAAACCATTGCTCCTCATTCGTGTTACAACTGACGTTTTGAAGAAATTGTTCAGTATTTTAAAGGTTTTGATAAGATCCACCTTGTCATGCCTAGTTTGCAGTGTTGTTAGCCCTATGGCCCTCAACCGTTCTTGATACACGTTCTTGACTTACCTCTGGAATGATTTTAGTTGCCCGGTGTTGCACCTTCTCCAGAGCAGTTATGTCTTTCTGAAGATGAGGTCTCCATGCCTGGATGCAATAATCCAGGTGTACTGTTATGCAGAGACTTACTTTAGCTTAGATTTTAGCTCTGATTTTAGCGCCAGAGACTTATACAGTTAAATAACTAACTTATTTTCCTTAAAGGTAAAGGTACGTTTGATTATTCCCAGGGTTTGGTTAGCTTTTTTAACTGCCGCTCCATCTTTGTGCAACTTCAAGTGAATGGTGGATTCAGACTCCAAGGTCCTTGTCTTCATCAATCTGTTGTAAGACAGTGCTCTTAATTTGGTAACTGTGACTGGGATTGTTATGCCCCACATGCAAGGTCTTGCATTTATCGACATTAAAAAGCATTTGTCAGTTTTCTGACCATTTGTGGAGTTCATGCAGATCTCTTTGTAAGGTCTCAATATCATTTTCACTTCCAACTTTACCACAAATCTTAGTATCATCTGCAAATTTGATGATGTGGTTTGTAATATTCTCATCAATGTCATTGGTGTACAGTTATATATTTTACAGGCTATTCATGCCCGTGCCATCTCTTGAGGTGGCTTAGTCTTCATCAATCATTTATATATAACATGATGTTCACTATGTTCCTAATTGACAATCATGCCTTACACCTTATAAATCTTCCCAATACTAGGCTGAAAGCATTAGAAATAATTTAAAATGAAGCCATGAGGATAATTCTTGGAACTCTCAGATGCACATGAATCAACA